TTCCAGTTGAAACCCAACTCGCAATTGTATTGTATCGATTGGGTTCAAGCGGTGAAGGGCCTACTCTGTCAAAGATTGCGGGCTTATTTGAAATCAGTGATGGTGATGTCATTCAGGTCAGAGTTTGTCATTTTTCCGCATAATGTTTCTTCATTTTAGAATACAAGGTGCAATTCAAAAGTTTCAGGACTTTTATTAAAAAACGAATATTATTTGTTTTTTTTTGAAAAATTTATTGGTCGCCTTCAAAATAGTCTCCTTCCGCCTGAATACAACGTTTTGAACGTTCAAGAAGGTTATCGAATGACTTTTTTAGGTCACTTGTTGGTATAGCGTTGAGGATGGCGGTCGTCGCCTTTTGGATGGCATCAACGTCAGCATAGCGGTTTCCTTTGATGGCCAAATGTAGTTTTCCGAACAAATAAAAATCGCAGGGTGCCATATCAGGCGAATAGGGTGAATGGTTGATGATATGAATGCGATTTTTGGTCAAAAAATCTGTCTGATTCTCAGGTATTTTTCGTGTTGTTTCAAAGTGTGCGGGACAAATCGAGCACAAACCATTCTGAGGCCCAAATTTTCTGTCAAAATACGATAAATCGACGCTGCGGATATTGATAATTCCGATTCCATATATTTAAGCGATGATTTCGGCTCTTTTTTAATGAACTCACGCACAATTTCCGTGTTTTTTTCGTTCACAACATCTTTTGGCCGGCCCGAACGTTCGTCGTCTTCCAAGTCCTCCCGTCCCTCTTGAAAACGTTTAAACCACTCGTAAATACGGCTACGAGATTGACAATCATCGCCATAAACTTGTTTCATCATTTGATGAGTTTTGGTAAAAGTTTTACCAAGTTTAAAACAAAACTTAATGTTGGCTCTTTGTTCGATGCTCATTTTCCGACCGACACTACAAATGTAATGTCACATGTATCGCGATATCTCAGCTGTTATATAAGTCAGCTGTTATATAAATTTTATACAACAACACTGAAGAATACACAATTGAGGGATAACAATTTCAGACAGATGGCGCCACTAGAGGTCGCGTTGTTTAAAAAGTCCTGGAAATTTTGAATTTTGCAGGAGATAATTCTAGAGAATTAACACAAAGCCAAGGGTTTTTTTTTACAAAATATTCAGTCGCTATAGAATTAAATTGAACACTGTTTCGGAATGCTGAAATAAAGATTTGGGAGTCTAAAAGGTTTACGGCTCCAAATCAAAAATGAAAACCGAAGGAGAAAAGTAAACAAATGGATTCACCGTTGTGCCATGTTTCACAACCTTATACTGCAGCCAGGTGATCATTTCGATTACCAATTTGAGGAATCGGATCACGAAATTGACGTGTTATTAGGTTCTCGTACCAGTGAAAGGGAGATAAGATGACGAACAATCAATGAACTGTTAAACAATTCAAACAATATACAACATATTCAATATATCAAACTGTATAGGATATTTAGTTGCTTATTTATTAATTAAATTAAATTAATTTTCATTACGTAAACATACATATGCACATTCTTTATATACAGCAATTCTTATATAATAAAAAATATGTTTATAAAAATGTAAAGAAAATTATTTCAATTGAAAAAAACTTAAGGATACTAACAAAATAAAAAATCAGTCACCTTTAGTAAAACTAAAAAACGATTCAAAAATATGAAGAGAGAAAAACATTTTCAAATTTATGAAACTCTGATTGTACAAAGAAGATAAAATTATAACACATTTCATCTCCTTATGAGCTATTTAAAACTTTTAATCGTTAATGCATGCAGGTTTTAATCGCAATTTTTCCATTTCGATTCGTTCTTATTTGTCCAGCCTTAGTTTTTGTAATTTGAAATTATTATTGTGTTTCTAAATAAATTTTTTTCCTTTCAATTTCAAATAATAAAGCAAACGAACTCGAGCTGTAGTGAGGTCTCTTTAATCTTCTCTTTGGTGAACTTGTTGGTGAACAAATGTCTGATAAAAAGTAACGGACGGACTGACTACACTCTCAAAAGTGGACTGGATAATACAAGAAATATAGCAGACGGACTGGGTAATGGGCTGATAAAATATAGGTCAAGATCTCTGAATATTACACTCGTTTGCTCTCACCGTTTTAAATGCGTTTGGTGCAAGCACAATAAATGAAAATAGATTCGAAATCTAATGTAGGTTATCCGGTGGTATCCGCTATGTTTATTAAAACAAATGTAAAACAAGTAAGGAAGGGATAAGTTCGGATGTAACCGAACATTTTATACTCTCGCAAAGTCAAATGGTATACTCGTTTGAGATTTCTTTGTGGATTGGCTGATATTTTCGGTAGAAGGTCAACTATAGGCACTGGGGTCCACATATTTAGTACTTAGGGGCTTGAACAGTTTTGGTTCGATTTAGACAATTTTTGGTCACAAGGTGGCATACTTTAAACGTATTATTCACGCAAAGTTTTACCCCAAAATAATCATTGTTGCTGGATATGCATAGTGGAAAGTGAAAGAATCAGATGGAATTGAAAATGGCGTTATATGGGAAATAGACGTGGTTTTAGTCCGATTTCGCCCATTTTCGCACTATAACATAGAAATATGAAAACTTTATGTACCGAATTGGTTAAGCAGATCTCAAGATATGGGTTTTCACCTAAAAGTGGGCTGTGCCACGCCCACTATCTAATTTTGAACGCGGTTCCTATAAAGTCATCTCATACCATCCCAGAGAAAAAATTTAATGTCTCTGGCGTGTTTCGTGCTTGATTTATCGCGCTTTTAGTAGTTTTTAACAGTACCGTTATATGGGGAGTGGGCGGAGTTGCCACCCGTGCTAAAAACATTTGCTTCCAGTGAATTTTGTTATTATAGCATTAGCGGTTTAGGAGATATACACATTAAACCTATTAGAGGCGGGACCACGCCCACTTAAAAAAAAAAAATTAACTGCAGATGCCCCTCCCTAATGTGACCTGTGTACCAAATAACAGTCTTGTATCTTATTGCGGAGCTTAGTTATGACAATTCATTTGTTTTTGATTAATGGCGTTTTGTGGGCGTGGCAGTGGTCCGATTACGCCCATCTGCAATACCAACCGTCTCACGGTACCAAGAAACATGTCTACCAAGTTTCATAAAGATATCTCAATTTTTACTCAAGTTACAGCTTGCACGGACGGACAGACAGTCACCCGGATGTCGGACGGTTGATACAAACAACCGTTAGGTGAACAAAACTATTCTACTCTGTATCAACTGGTTGCGAGAGTATAAAAAGTATAGATCACAAAATCCCAATGAATATCTGGATACTCGGGAGAAAAGTTGCGAACGAAAAAAGGAGTCCTCTGGTCCTGTGTTAGTCCCTTTTGAAAGTTGGGTTGTGTAGAGTTGTGGTGTGATGTGATGTGTATGTGTGGGTGGTCTGAGTGGTGTGATGTCTGCGTGGTGTGATGTCTGCGTGGTGTGCGTTTGTGTGTGTTAGTGGGTGGAGTCTTCTTGTGGATTGTGGTGTATTTCGCTCAGTGGCGTGTATGGAAGGAGTAGGCGTAGCTCATATAGCCAGTCAGTATCTAAAATTACTATTAAATGTTAAATCAATTAAGATTAATTATTTTATTAATCTAATAATACAATATTATATTTTAATGTACTTACATTTAATAATCAAATTACAAAATATTATATTTTAATGTACTTACATTTTCCATTTTACAGTGAATAAAACAATAAACAGCTGATAAAGATTTGCGACAACTTGCCATGGATGCCACTGACAATAGTCTCGAATAATTGCAATTTTATCACAAAACAGGTTGCATGTAAAAATGATTAGCTGTTTTGCGATATTAGCATTTTGCGAACTTTACAATAAATGACATTACAATAAATTTGCGACATTAAACGCATACCACTAATGTATTTCCCTTTACTTGACCTTTCATTAATATATAATAATATGTATGTTGTTTAACACTCGTACAAGTCGTAAGTTCTTTATAAACCAAATACTACCTAATAAAAACCACTCATGCTGTAATAGTATGTAAAGTCAAGGGGACATTTTCTCACGATGTATTCTTGTAAAGCTAGGAACCAAAGCTTAAACGGGTCTATTTTTATATTCTTGCAACATGTTGCTACAGAGTATAATAGTTTTGATCAACTAACGGTTGTTTTTATCACCAAAAACTAATCGAGATAGATATACATAACTTCGTATATATTATACATATGACCGGCATGACGGGACGAATTAAATTCCAAGTGACTGTTTGTCTGTTCGTCCGTCCCTGCAAGCGATAACTTGAGTTAACATGGAGTTCTCTTGATGAAACTTTGTACACATGTTCATTAGCACCCAACGATGGTATTGTTGTTAGTTAGTATTGTGAATGAGCGGAATCGGACCATTGTCACGGCCATTTATAAAGTCAACCGGAAGTTCGAAAATCTTTACATTAGAATATTTACTTTGTTTTGATTGTATTTTGTTTTGTTTTGTTTGTTTGTTTGTATCATATCGGGTGCAATATTTAGTGTTCTACAGAGTGTAAAAGTTCTGTTCTTCTAACAGTTGTCTAAAAATCTTAAATTTATTTTAATAAATATAGGGTTTCAGTTTATGAATCAAAGTCACCAGGTGATGAGAGGAATTGAGTTGTCAAAATATGACTGTCTCTTCATCAGTTTGCTGATACGATAACTTCCCCTTGAGATACCTTAATGAAACTCCCAAACTTAATAGGTTGCAACCTTCTTAGAATATGAATATCATTATTGTTATTTGGAAACTTGTGAAATATGGTATTAACAACGAGAAACTCCCATATAACAGTATTATTTAAACCTATATTAAATAACTATATGAGTAACGAAATCTTAGGTTTTGAATGCGGGTGGTTTTTTATTTGATATTACTAAGTTTTATTCCAGTGAAGATTATAGATATTACTTAAATGTTGTAAGAAAATAACAAGTTAAAATGTATTTTGGCTTTTTATAAATTTATTTGGACTCAGAACTGTTCACAATTTTATATGTTATTTAAATTTGTTCATGGTGTAGGTATCGATGATCCTAAGTAGAACGATTTGTATAAATAGTACGTAAACGTAATTTAGTTCTACTGGTCGTACGACAAAATACGCCCCATTATTGGAATATCTTGTAGTTTCGCTTCAGACGCTCTAAATGAAGATATAATTCCTTTTATAAAATTTTGCCGTTTTCGTGAATTATTTTTCTTTGCCACAAATTACCTGGATTTTGTTCATTTTGAAATAACCAATATCTTGGTATCACTAAGCACTGTACCTTATTTTCGGCCTTCGAAAAATAGTCATAAGAACATGACGATTCTTCTTCCAACAAAAAGTGATATTCCTCATTTTCTTCACTTCTGCTGTCTTCATTATGCTCGTGGCCTTCTGTTTTCAGGGCTGAATTAGATATTATGGAAGACATCGACCCTAGCTTTGAAGACAATGCAGAATTTTCAACAGGATTACTAAGTGCACACTGCTTTTCTATCGCTGTGATATCCATGTTTTTCTTTAAATAGATGAAAAGTTTCTTATTATTGCTTTCTATGAAATTTAGAAAAAAACGGCATTAAGTTTTTTCATCTACGGTTAATCTAAATGGTTTAGAATAATTTAACACATTTAACAACATCATTGGCCAAATAAGTTATAATAATAAAATGTTATTCACACATACAATTTTTAATTTTATTATGGAACTAAAAATATATTACAAAACTTATTAAAATATAAACATACACATACATATACGAGTATGTATATGACAACAACGATAAATACAATTTTCGTCGATTGAGTTCTAGTCCAGTCATTTGAGCTTAAATTAGGTAAGAATCTCGGAATTCAGATACCCAGCTGTAAGTCTGTAAATACTTGTATATTGACACCCTAAAAGTTGTCTCAAAACCTACATATGGTAGGGTGTACGCAACTATTAAATTTCAAGGTCAAAGGTCACAAAAATCGGTTTTTGCGTTTTTTTGTAAATATCTCATTTCCTATGGGTTTTGTGCTATTGGTATTTATTATCAATATTGTAGAATACAAAATTCTCTACAAAATTTTTTTTCATACGATGAACTGTTTTCGAGATAGAGGGCTTAGAGCGCGCGGTCACAGCATCATTTCAGGTCAACCGGTGCCTCCGATCAAAAACGCGCCATATATAGTTAATGAACTATATTAATCATGCATCTTCTTTAAAATCTGTAAATTTGTAAATAATAGGACAAGATATTGATTTAGTCATCATTTTAATTGGGCGTACACTGTCTTACGAACAAGAAATTTTCTTTAAAAAAGTTGGGAAAGGCAATGTAAAAACGGAGATATACTCGACTAAAAGTTTTGATAATTATCCTCATTCCAAAAGACATATTTTATTTCTGCACGCATTAAGTGGATGTGAGAGAGAGATAAGTTTCCCCTCGAATCATGATCCCAGCTTTGTAAGTCTGGTATAATAACTTGGGGTAAATATTGACAACCCTAAAGTTGTCTCAAAACTACATATGGTAGGGTGTACGCAACTATTAAATTTCAAGGTCAAAGGTCACAAAAATCGGTTTTTTGCGCTTTTTTGTAAATATCTCATTTCCTATGGGTTTTTGGTATTGGTATTTATTATCAATATTGTAGAATACAAATTCTCTACAAATTGTTGTTAAAAAATTTTTCATACGGTTAACGTTTTCGAGATAGAGGCTTAGAGCGCGCAGTCACAGCATCACTTCAGGTCAACCGGTGCCTCCGATCAAAAACGCGCCATATATAGTTGATGAACTATTGATAAATCAATGATTATAAATATTGTCAATTTTTAATTAACTATTATATTATATTTATCATTTTTCCTAACCTATCCATTTTGATTCAGTATTAATTAATTTAACAACACTTACCTCCATGAATTGCAGAATGTTAATGAAAATATAGGAATTATATTTGAATTTAAACCTATTAATATTAAAACTTCTTACATGATAAAAAAAAAATAAAATATCATTCAATACATTTATTTTATTAAAAGTAAAAAAATGGAATAAAGGGTACAAAACTACAATTTATAATTTTAATCATCTTCTTCCTCTTCATCGTCGTCTCCGGCTGCTGGTAAATTTCAAACTGGTCTTCATTATCGTCTTCAACGACATTTTTTCAAGTTCTTCCATGATTTCGGGGTCAAAAGTTCCATCTTCGTTAATGCGCTCTGATATGGAGAGCATTGAGACAAGCTGGCCCATTACATTGGCACAAGCTAAAGAGCATTGCAAGCCCGCTTTCCTGCATCCGCATCGCGAACCACAAACCACTCTTGCAGTTTGCAGAAAATTGTTTTAGCAAATGTTCTGGAGGCAGGTGGTAAAATTGTCATGATTAGGCTCCAAGAAAATCGTTTCGCATTGCCAACCCATACCTGGGTTCCAAATCATGCCCTAACCAAGTTTGAAGTTGATAAAAAATACACGTTTGAAATGTTGATGAGGCAGCTGCACTTGTTGGTGGAATATTGAAAGCTGCACAGGTTTATTAGTTTTGTAGAGTTGACGTAATGCATATAACGAAGATGATCGAGACTTTTCACAGATTTCGGAGCATATAGACTGCCAATAAGGTTTGAGTTCCACTCTCTAATAATCTCTGGGCCCGAACAATTTTCTACCTCAAATGCGTCAGCTAGTTCATCCAAATTGGTCAGTTTCTCAAAAACTTTTAAAAATGTTTTTTTTTCCCTTTTTAAAAAGCGCAGAAGTTGTGA